ATATGGTCATCACCCTTGTCAGTACCAAGAAAACAGACAGCTTGCATCGTCTTTGCTTTGCCTACATTAGAATACTTCATGGGGACAAGTAATTGGTTGATAGCAGATATTCAAAATCTTGACAGGAAAAGCAGAAAGGTAGTCGAGATGCATAAAGGAAAACACATCTCAGAATCAATAGCAATGCTCTATTTGCCACAGAAATGTGGTGGAAGGGGCTTCAAGTCTGTAGAGGATACCTATAAGATCTCAAAAATTAAGGTTGCACATCACATTAACATAAGCAAAGATCCAAGAATAAAGCTGGTACGCTCGTTCCAACATTACAAAAGCAAAAAGAACTTCAAGTCAACTTTTGTTGAAGCAACAAGGTATGCAAAGGAACATTTCAAAGCTGACTTGAGCCTTTTAGAGGAAAAGTCTGTATTAAGCTATGAACAGGAAAGAGTGGAGTTAAAAGATGACAACTATATACAGATCCAACGCAGACTAGGAAGTATCATTCAAAGACTATATGAAGAAAGAGTTAGAAACCAACCTTGGTTAGGATTCTACACGGTTTCAATACTAGATAGTGATGAAATATCAAAAAACAGTAGAAACATTTTTCGAAGCTGGAAAAACATCCCAGATATAGTCTTATCGACAAATGAATCAATAAAGCAACAGTTACTACCTACCAAAGCGTATTCAAAGTACAAGTTAAAGATGGAAACTGCAAATACAACATGTAGTCTATGTAAGCAAGCAGAAGAAACAGTCGTTCATTTGCTGTGCTCCTGTGCAGCATTAGCACAAACACTCTACAAGGCACGACACGATAGAATGTTAAGACCTATTTATCATCTAATACGAGCAAAGTTTGAATTTGATGGAAATAATCGTGGAGTTCCATGGTACAAGCAAGCATTACCTCTTGCAAGCATCGAAAATGATCGTGCTAAGATTATGTGGGACATACCGATGCACTTAGACAAAAGACCAAGCAACAATGCCATTAAGCCTGATATGCTGATAATTGACAAAGTAGGAAAAAAGGTCAGTTTGATAGAGGGGACTATATGTGCACCTGGATGTATTGCCAAGAGAGAGAAAGAAAAACAAGACAAGTATTCTGAAATGAGAAAGTCACTGGAACGGTTAAATCGTGGATACGAAATAGATCAAATCAATGTTGTATTTGACTTTCTAGGCTGTTACAGCAAGCAATTGGAGTGTCATATCAAGAGACTATGTGAAGGAGAGAAGGAGGCAAAATTAGTAATCGAACAATGCCAAAAATGGTACTCAGCCAAAACTGCGAGATTGTTAAAACTTTTTATGAAAGAAAATAGAACAACAAAAATAGTCTGCCTAGGCATTAGCCAGCAGTATAGTGGACACAACAAAAAGCAACAGAAACAATTTTGACAATAATAATAATTTGTCCTGGGTATGACAAAAAACTACATCCGGTAGTGGAGTTTTGACGTGGGAGAATGAGGTTACCCTTTGCCACTACTACCTCCAGGTCACCCTTGAGCAAGGTATACTACCTGTTAGCTCTCCCCGAGGCCGTGAAATACCGGGTTGGCGTCCGGCGGGGGCTAGTCTGTCTCATGGGTAGGGGGGACTCTTCAGCCCTGGTCGGCGACCCACCTAGTGATGGTGTCACGATAAAAATACTGCTTTGTTGGTGATGCAAAACCACAACCTCATCTTCAAAAGAAAATGATGATTAATTCTGAAAATAACATAGAGAACGACGTCAACGGGAGTGGATCCACAGGTGAAGCTGTCGCGTCCGGCAGGGGTGGTGGTGCTACGCAGGCCAGTCTCGGTCGATATCATGCTACTGCGGAATCAACTGTGAGGAGTAGAACTAGAAATCAGTGGACAAGAGAAGATAACAGAACAGTGATGGAGTGCTATGTCGCGAGCGAGCCAAATAAGAGGGGTTACCGGAAACGTATGGTAAATATTTGGAGAAGTAGAAATCTTGCTCAGGTATCAGAGCAAAGACTGCTAGACCAAGTTAGGCAAATAAGACTGAAGGGTTGGATAACAGAGTTAGAGATGGAGGAGATCAAGAGACAGAAAACAATTGAAGGCAACAGAGGTGACGATGAAAGCCAGGGTGAAAGTGTGGAAAGCGATGCTAACAACAGACGCGAAGAAATACAAATAGAATATGATGATAATGTACAGCAGAATAATGAGACAGGAGCAGCTGAAAATGGTGCTAGAAATTTTGACGATGAGGAATTTTCAGACGAGGAAATAGCGATCGCTGAGAGGCTTTTTGAAGTACTACACCAACCTGAAAGGACAAAGCTACCTGCTCTGAGAGGTCTAAATAAAAGTTCTGTCAAAATAGAAGTTGAAAGATGAATAGCTTGCTGGGTAAAATAAGAAGCGAAAATATCACCGCGACCAATGATTTGTTATATGCAGCATCAGTTGTTACAACTGAGAGATTAGGTGTAAAGATCACTAGAAAGAAGAGGCAAGGAGAACCTATGTGGAAAAGAAGGTTGCAGAAGCAAGTAAAATACTTGAGGAAAGATTTAAGCCGAGTTGAAGAGTTAAGAAAAGGGAAGACAATTAAGACAAGATTTCAGGAACAGTTACAGAGAAAGTATTGGTTAAAAGAAAAGGGTCTCATAACAGTAAGTGAAGAACTAAAACAAAGGATTACAGCTAAATCAGGAAAAATTACAAGATATCAAGCTAGAATAGATCAATTTAGACAGAATCGACTGTTTCGGGAAAACCAAAGTCGGTTCTATGATGAATTGAATGGCGGAGAGAGAAATGAAGTACGACCTGAAAAGGAAGAAACTATGGCATTTTGGAAGGATATATGGAGCAAACAAACACGGCACAATGAAAACGCAGAATGGCTGCAGGACCTGAAGGAGGAAATTAAAATTGACAGGCAAAATGATGTTGTGATTACCAGGGAAAAGGTAGAAAAGGTTGTTAATAAAATGCCAAATTGGAAATCACCAGGACCTGACTTAGTTCAGGGCTTCTGGTTGAAAAGATTTACTAATCTGCATGGGAGAATTACATTGCAGCTCAACGAGTGCTTGAGGTAAGGAAATGTACCAAAATGGATGACTACAGGAAGAACAGTTTTGATAGTCAAAGATCCACAAAAAGGAAGGGTGCCTAGTAATTATCGTCCAATAACGTGTCTCGCTATGTGCTGGAAATTGTTGACAGGAATATTGGCAGGTGAGATTTATTCTTTTATGGAGGCTAAGAATGTATTACCAGAAGAACAAAAGGGTTCGAGGAAAGGATGTAGGGGGTGCTTAGACCAATTGTATATTGACAAGAAAATCATGAAGGAAGTGAAGCAAAGAAAGAAGAATATTGCAATGGGCTGGCTGGATTATAGAAAAGCTTATGATCTAATCCCACATTCATGGTTGAAGGAATGTTTGAACATGTTTGGAGCTGCAGAAAATGTAAAAAATTTGCTGACCAACAGTATGAAGGAATGGAGCACCATGTTGACATCTTGTGGGGAAGCGATTGGTGAGGTAAAATTTGCCAGAGGAATTTTCCAAGGAGACAGTTTATCACCATTAATGTTTGTGATTGCTATGATACCACTAACGTTAGTACTGCGTAAAATGAAAGCGTCCTATAAGTTCAGTTCAAATGGAGAGCAGATAAATCATTTAATGTTCATGGATGACATCAAACTTTATGCGAAGAATGAAAGTGGACTAGATGCATTGATACAGTCTGTCAGAGTTGTTAGTAATGATATAGGTATGGAATTTGGAGTAGAAAAATGTGCAGTGTTGGTTATGAAGCGAGGGAAAGTAGTCGAGTCTAATGGCATTGACTTACCAAATAAGGAAACCATTAGGTCTATACACGAGGAAAATGGTTATAAATACCTTGGAGTTATGGAAGCTGATCAAGTATTAGGTGAAAAGATGAAAGAAAGTCTAAAGAAAGAATATAAGAGAAGAGTGAAAAAGATACTGAAATCTAAGCTTAATGGAGGCAATATGATAACTGCCATAAACACTTGGGCTGTTTCAATGATGAGATACACGGCACCTTTCGTTGACTGGAGAAAGGATGAGCTGAAAGAAATAGATCGGGGTACTCGTAAAATGATGAATATGTACAGATCACTGCATCCAAGAGATAGTGTAGCAAGACTCTACCTACCCCGTAAAGAAGGAGGACGAGGACTTGTAGAAATTGAGGATTGTGTTCAGCTCGCAATTTTGGGGCTTGAAAACTATGTTCAGGATAGCAAAGAGAGGATATTGTCATCAGTGAGATGCGAGGCAGGAGAAAGAGTGTCAGAGAAAGATTTCAAGAAGCGAAGAAGAGAAGAGAGGCGATCAGAGCTAGAAGAAAAGGCGCTACATGGACAGTTTTTCGGGCAGACAAAAGAAATAAATGACCCAGAGTCATGGGGATGGCTCCGGGACGGGGAATTGAAAAAGGAGACTGAAGGACTGATAATGGCGGCGCAGACCCAGTCATTGCGAACAAATGCAATTAAAGCAAACATCGATAAGACGCAGAGGGACTCGAAATGTAGAATGTGTAATCAGAAAGAGGAAACAATAAGCCACATTGTCAGTGAATGCCCAAAACTGGCACAGAGAGAGTATAAACGTAGACATGACTGTGTAGCGAAAGCCCTCCATTGGGATGTCTGTCGCCTGTATGACATAGATTGTGGAAATAAATGGTACGAACATCAACCAGATGGAGTGGTAGAAACAACAAATGTAAAGATTCTCTGGGATGTCAATATTCAAACAGACAATGAAATCCAGGCAAGGAGACCTGACATAGTGGTTGTCAATAAGAAAGAAAGGAAGTGTTACATCATTGATGTTGCAGTCCCGGGAGGTGAGAATAGCTGAAAAAGAGATAGAGAAAATCGAAAAGTATGACGAATTAAAGAGAGAAGTGGAAAGATTATGGAAAGTGAAAGCAAAAGTTATTCCTATTGTCTTGGGAGCCCTTGGAACAGTGACACGAAATTTGAGCAACTACATCAAGGAAATTGGAGTCAAGACGCAGATAAAACTAATACAAAAATCTGTACTTTTAGGAACTGCAAGAGTGTTGAGAAAAGTTCTCGAGATCTAAGATCATGGGTATTGATCCGATTTCAAGAAACATCAAGAACAAGCCAGTTATAACATCAGAACTGTGTACATCAGCATAATAATAATAATAATAATAATAATGATACATTACCCGTTGTTTTCGCTCCTGTAACTGCTGTAAGACTTGTTCCTTGAATGGGAAGTTCCTTGGTATTCCAGGATCTTTACGTGATTCTAAAGAGAGACAAAATTAATATTGTTTATGGTGGTAAGTTTTCATTGAGATGACAAATTAAACTATTTATAATCAGTCAGGAACCAAGACAGAGCTGAAAAGGTAGGGGTGAAGCCAAGGAAAGGTCGACTTGTAAGCAAAGCAAAGACTTAGCAGCTTGTTCTTTATGGCTTTTCAAACGGCATTGAGCATCATCAATATTTACTACCTTGCACTTGATTTTTAGTCTTTAACACAATTGCACATTTACATGAAACCATGTCAAAAATTAACAGCAAACTTTTTCATACCACTATATAACATTCAAGCAACTATTTTTAGAATCAACCAGGAATGAGGATTTTAAAAAATACTTGGCTGTAAACTAACTTTTCTTTGCATTCTTCTTCTCTTCTCTTTTTGCTTTCTTATTATGCTCTTTAACCTATAGATATGAATTTATATCACAGTTAAAAAAGCTAACATCTATAGAATGTCTACAGAAAAAAGCATTACACATAAGCTAATTACTTGAAAAAATAATTCTATAATTTTGGAAGTTCTCATAATAATATATTGAAACATTCTCACTTTTTTAATATACAAACAAGGTATGATGATGATGTTTGATTGATGATGATTGATTGATTTTTATCTTTCTTAACATGCAGAAAACACAGAGCAGTAAAAGAAGTTGTTGTGTGACCACTGCCTCTTAATCAGACCTGGCCATAAGAATTTTGGCAGGTGGGTGGTGAATTGCTCTCCTTGTTAGAGTCTGGCTGGCGATTTGAAACAAAACATAAAATTTATGAATAAAATTTCTTGGAGGCATTTACAAAAGATGATTAAAAAAAAGATAATTGAGGTTTGAATTTCACTATGTTTTCTTATATCTGCAAGGTAGCTCTATTAAAAAGATGTGAAGGGATGATCGTTTCTCTAAGTTTATCAAACAACCAAATGTCAATGCCAATGCTAGGGGTCAGCCAAGATGAAACATGTGCATGGTGGGGCAGTTTTGTATTTGTTTAAGATATGACAAATACACTGGGATCTCAAAAGTATGGAAACGGTGGGTCAAACTGACGGCTCACAGTGACCACCGGCCTAGGCCAACTAATTTCAAAGTCGGAATTATGAGGTGAAGAGGCTTAGTAATGACAGGTTATGGCAAGAAAATGCATTTGCCATTTCTTCAACTTTCGGTTAAAAGAAAATTTAATAATTGGTTTGCTGTTTTGAGGGGAAAAATTCAGCAAAACTTTGAAGCACTGCTTCAAAACAATTTTGTAAAAGATTCTCAAAACATTTAAGGTTGAAGCAAACTGCTTAAAGCTTCTTTTTCATGAAAAAATTATAACTGAGAGAGTGACGGTAGCAGTGCATTTTAAATTTAAAGTTTCAATACTGACACAAGGTGAGTTGCTCTACATTTAAGGTTATGACTTGTTTATCTTAAATTCTGATTTACTTAATATCTAAGCACATGACAATCATAAAATTAAAACAAAACGTTCAACGTTTATTATGCTTTTGAAATTAATGAAAAGAATCATTTCCACCCAAGCGGTCTATGTTATTTAGCAAGAAAACTATTTTGATCACTAAATTACAGCTTTAGAAATTGTTCACCTGATATCATTTTTAATAACCTAAAGTCTGATATCTCAGCCAAAATGATATTCTCTGTAATATTTTAAAAGTCAGAACAAAGTTGCATGTATTAAGTTTCAAGTTGAATTAAATTATCGTATACTTATTAAGTTTCGTCTGTTCTTTGAGGCATTTTTTTATAAATCCTTCAAAAATATTTTCCAGAAATTTTCTGATGCACCGGTCTAACATTTCTCTGACTTTTCACCCACAAAACAGTAAGGTAATCCATCAAAATTATTTTCATTCAAAAGCCATTGGAATTAGATAAACAAATTTAGTGCTGAGCTTCTATTTTAAAAACCTGTTGGCTTAGGCCTGTGGTCACTGTGAGCCACCATTTTTAGCACCATTTCCATACTTTTGTGACCCCAGTGTATGTTTAGCTCAAAACGTCAACAAAACTCTAAGATGGGTGGTTAACATTAAAATTGGTGCAGATTATCCCCTTTCTTAGGCAATCTAAGGGGCACTGGGGTGCACATAGGTGATTCCTTCCTAAAAAAATGGCCAGGCCTTCTTAATGTGTACATACTGGTTGTGTGCATATAAACTGAGGGAAGGCTAATTTCATGCGCTTCATTACATTACTGTTGATATGAAGACAATGCAAGGTGTCCATTAAAGAAATACACTGAAGGATATGGCTATGGATAGACAATGGTCACTACAGTTATTTTGATCCCCACTTTCATGTATGGAATTTTCCCAAATTACTGACAACCTACCTTTTTCTGTATTTTGTACTTTTTTGCTAAAGGTACCCTTTTGCTCTGTTTCTCTAAAAAATGATACATCAAATTATCCAACAACAAATACTGATGTTCATGCCTATTGAGTATTTCATAAACAATATTGTAGCCACACCAAGAGAAAAAGGTTGTACATACACAATTGTTCACAATAATCAAACAAGCTCAGATATCCAATTGAAAAAACAGCAAGATTTTTGAAAATCTTTTAAATCAACTATTTGAAACCTGTCTTCGTATTGTGTCAAATTGTTCAATGCTAGTTTTCCCAATAGGGTATGGACACGATTTCAGACATAAATAAAAGCAATTTTAAAGATTCTATAATGACATATCATAAAGTGCAGAAATATCAAGCACACTTTCAACCACGAAACAAAGTTATGGGCATTAATTGTAAAAGAACCAGTGAAATAATTCACAGTTATCTTTTTTCCTATATAATGAGAACTTTACTGCTTGCTTGCTTTTGACAGATTTTATCGATATGATCATCAAATTTCCAATTCTTATCAATCTGGGCCACTTAATATATGTGATTTTAAATAAAATTACATATTCCACCAGACTGCATTCTTTTTTATGCACAGAGAATATATTCAAGCAATCTATGCAAATCTATGTAAACAAGAATTTATGTTCCCTGTGCAAAACGCATGAATGCAGTTTGGATATTCAATGGTCCATACAATGTACTAGAAGATGAACTGTTATCTTTTTTAATGTAAAATTTCTTCTTAGTTGGAGGTTTTCCAGGAGATGAAAGGTTTTACACAAAAACTTTGAAAAGCCAATATTCCATTAGATAAAGAAATCAAAATGGGCTGAGTATGTGGCCAGAGAAAAAGTCCATGGCATGCCATAGATCTCCAGGTTAAGAAATCTCTACCCTGGCTGGTGCCAAGAAATCTCCTCCTCATCCGATGATCCCTGCTCCCAAATCTTTGCCTGCTTCACTGCCGGTATATAATTGATCAATGCTTGGGAAGTACACAATCAATTCACGGGTCCAAAATGAAAACATGTCACTTTTGATTGTAAGTCTTGCTAATCAAAAACAAAGTTTGGCAAGCTCAATAGTTTTTATCTCTTTTGAAGTCCCATTTAAAAAATGCTTCTCTCGCTTTTCTCTCCATATGTATCTTATAAGTAAATGATGCACGAAAACACATCAAGAATAAATAGGTTAGAGCTACTGCGTTAATTTAAAAAAGTTTTTAACTCCGTTGGATACTGGATACGGGGAGAAGAACGAGAGGAAGCAATCTTGGTCAAAACATAATACATTCACTGAAAACGCAGTCTGACCATAATATTAAAATTTTTGCAGATCATTTAACTTCGTATAGTTTCACAGCTACTTACTTGGTCTAACCATTTTTGTAAACTTTCCGTCCACACTTGTGAAACGCTAGAAGGATGGAAAATTAGGCCATGTGCATGCTGCCTCGTTCTCGGCTCCCACGTGATTCTCTTTCTGTGTAAGAGGTTCTCTGAGAAAACTGAGCCTGTTCGCTTGACCTGTGTTTGTCCCTGGATGTGCACTACACTATACTGAGATCTTTGAAAATGATTCATACCGAATCTATCATTCTTGATAATAATAACATATGGATAATTTGTACAATTTCTCATGTTACAAACAAAAAGACAAGATTAATGAAATATTCTATTTTTGACTGAATCTTGAAAATCGACTCTCTGATTTTTGTCTGAATCGCTAAATCTTTGAACTTGTGTTTACTTGCTGAATAAAAAGTAAATGAAGTGAAAACTTTTGAATCCAGCAAGCTGCAAGTATCTATAAACGAATTCATTAAAGATTGAAGGGGGATTGAAACACTCAAAAACGACAATAAAATCATTTTATGATACTATGCTTTGTTGATATCTGCTGCCATTATATATTTAAGAAATGACGTTAACCTTTCATAGAAACGACTTTTTGCCGTCCCATGAAAACAGTTTCGGTAGCAATTCATCACTTTTTACAATTGCTTGTGCCACGTAAGTTGCAATAGGATAGAAATCTGCATAAAACTGACAAAAGTTGCTGTAACATCAACCTCGCATTAAGGCACTGGGTGTGGCTGTATTTCTTTTTGAAGCTTTTTGCATTTGTTGCTACCAAGCATCCGAAGGTGTGCCTATCGAGCAGTGTCCTAGTCCTTCCAATCAATGTGACCACACCTAGTGCGTGATTCCTAAACAGAGAGCTGTCAGCTCTCTTCAGTCTAAACACAAGTGTCGTCATGTCAGGAACTAGAACGAGAAACTCTTGGATTTTTATTCGGCGACAGAGCCAACCTTGCCCCTTGGAGATGCATGCTTCTCTAGATGTGTGTAATTTCACTTTTTTTAATGCTTGCATTTTTCTAGATCCCTCTTCAGCATTTAAGTTAGATAATTAATGACCACATCTTGAACGTTTGGCTCTTGCACAATCCCGGGTGATGAAAAATGAAGTTTAGTATACAGAGTAAAAACCCTATCAAGAAAAAAGCCAGTCGCGACTATTAGGAACCATTCTTAGAAGACCTGGCAAGTTAAACCTATTTGTAACAGGACCCGCGCCACGAAACCGAAAGTGGGGGGGGGGGGGGGCAAGGCTAAAAGAGTAGGGGCCAATGCCTCTTACCCCTTTTACTACAGCTTTAAAACTACTTGCTTCGCAAAAAAGTGGGGGACCATGGCTTGCCCCCCCCCCCCGGTGGCGCGGGTCCTGTATAAAGATGATATAGTGTTCAAGCATTGCCTGATTTGTCGTTGTTTTGTTGAAGGAGTCTTTCGGTTATTTTCCCAAATTCTCTACTAAATATCTTCTTGTAAGTATGAACTTGCAACAAAAACAGTCAATAGATACCATGTACATATATATCAAAAAATACATCTTTCTTATAGTATTGAATCACATTATCTAGTATCTCCCAAAAAACTAAATCCATTTCCAAATTACTCAGTTCTAATAAAGATCGAATTCGAACGTTACATTTAAGTTTAAAGGATAAGGTAAAAGGCGGACAAATTAAGGTGGCTACACAAAAATGGCTTTAAAACGCCCTGTAAGACATCACTAGATTATATAACATTGTGTTTCAAGGATAAAGATCCCTGCAAAGAATACCTATAGAAGAGAATTACATGCGATCATCCCCTTCTTGATAAAATGAACCATCTTCAACCCAACATTATAACAATCAAATTGGACTTCTTGACGAGGAATGCAAATTTACAACTACGTTCAAGAAATCTCAAAATAGCCCTATTGGGGGTTCGTTGACTTTGATATTAATGGTAGGGGCTTATTAGAGGGGCATAATTAGACTTGGGTGGGGCTTATAGAAATCGCCTGAATACCGCCATACAATTATCTTGTTTTCAAAGCTCCTTACGTTCTTCAAACTTACTTGCGGAAAATGCATTTTAGAAATTATGTTAACACCATTCAAAGAGCAAAAGTGCTGATTTTTAAGCTTTCGTTTTCAGTCGAATATGTGATTGATCGTTGTATTGCAATATCTGTCTTTTATAAATCAGCAAAAAAGGTGATGGGGCATATTAGCATTTTTGCTTCCAGGATATGGGCTATTTAGGAAGAAGAGTTGCGTTAACGGTATAACAAAAAAGCATTTACAATCCCTATAAAATTGCAGAACTGAATGATCTCTGAGTCGTTTATACATTTGCACGTCTTTTAAACATGTTTGTCACATCTGATCAACTAAGTACTTCAGGTTATCTTTGAATGCAAAGCCAAGATAAATTCTCAGACATTCTGAAACTCGAGATTTGCATTAGCGTCTTCCCTTGGAACAGGTTCTTTCTTCCCCAACAAGGTCAATGCAAACCATAAAAGCTGGATGAGGGGTATGGCAATAAACATTCCACTCAAAGCAAGAGCTGCAACAGTTGGTCCGTTAGAACCGTAATCTAAGATTTTGCCATAAACCAACTTTCCAGTCTGGGACCAGTAAATTGAGTTGTATACCAAATAGAGTCCTAAAAATAGCGACGAGTACACGAATTGCAGTAATCGTATGGGAATTTTATTGATTACGAAATCGATCACCATCAAAACGAGGTTAATTCCATGGCGATCAATCACAAGGTATGTGTGTAATGATGGCTTGAAACCTCGTTTTTTATTTGGTGCAAGCATTACCCAAAAAGCAATGAAAACAAAAGTGCACATTCCAAGCGAAAGGTTGTACAGAAACCAATGTGCTCTGAAACGTAGCCCGATACAATAATGAGTTTGCTTGGTTACAGTAGCATCATTGTCACAAGGATCTAGACAGGCACTCTTCATTTGATGAATATAGTATATGGTAATATTTACTGCTGCATAAAGAAAGTAGACAGTGATCAAAATGTAGTTTGCACTTGTTAATGCAAATATCCATTGATTTTCTGCGTGCTCCCAAATTGACAGAAACATCATTATGGCACAGTAAACGAACATCAGCCATCGAATGAGAAGGTATTTCATCCACGTGATCCATTTCCACTGAAAGAACAAAAATTTAATGAATGATAAAATATCATCATTGAACACAAAATTGATAGGCATACGACATGTCTAATCAGAAAGTGCTATTTATAATTTAAAACATAATTTTTCTGCCTAATAAATTACAATGTAATATGTTTGTGGTGATAAGTCTCACAACTTGCCCCATTCATATTCAGGGCGACCTTATCAGAACAATGTGTAAATTGAAGTAAATGGTAAGTGAGATCACATTTTTATAAATGATATGTTATCCAAATTATAAAATTTAATGGAAATCGCTCCAAGAAGATCAGGGATATTACGCCTAGTCCCAAGACGTTTCAGGAACACCTGAAGCTCAACTTGTCCCGTGACCAACAAGTCTCGTTGCCAAATTCACCAGCTCTGTTTTGCACAACACACCTATCCCTTCCAGAGCCCGTAAAAGTTTCTACCTCTTCGTGCTTCTGAGAACCTTAAAATCTGTAAACGTGACCTCACCTCCCTTCAAGTCTTCCCACCTCTCTTCGAGGAATCCAGGTGTTGCTAATCTAGGGTCATAGCGAACTAGAGTCACGGTATTAGGCAGCCCCTCAATAAACACTTACTGGCAAATTAGGGAAAATTTAAATTTTTGTCAGACAAATAGAAAATGGGATTTCCCCTAACATTACTAACGTGGCAATAAAAATTCCAGACAGGGATAATCAGAACACGGTGCTATGAATTGCGGTATATACATGGTTGAGATACAGTTTGAAAAGTTAAAAACGATAGGATGCAGACCTCTTCCATTACAATTGTAGTTTTATTATATTAGTCGTTTTGCTTAAACTTGTGTCATTATGGTATGTGTTCGTCATGTGGTAAAAGTGTATGTTCTTTTATTGAGTACAGTCGAGAGTTATCGACAGTCGACTTTAGGCTGCCTTCGAGTTAAGATGTGTTGTCAATTTTACGGAGTCGTTAGTTTTACGGAGTCATGTTTTGGGGAGTTCCGTTGCATCGTTATACGACCTCTTGGTAAATTTTTGCCAGATGAAGATTATGTCATAGATAAGTCTTTTCCAAAATATTCAACTATGTCCCATCGGGCCACTGCTCAAGATATGTTGTTCCATTGCTGTCATGAATATGTTGACATAATTTGGGGCAAAGGTTTTTTCCATTGCGATGCCTTAAGGGAGGTTAATAAAATTTACCATTACAATCTTCTTATAAGAGACAGTAAATTGAAGCTCAGGCTGGTTGTTCTTAATTGTTTCGAAAATCTGAGGCTGAAATGTTCTTAATTTGTTCTTAAATTTATAGGGTATAAGCAGTGTGATTACTAGCTTTTCACTCTAGGGAGGTGTCCAGGCCTCATTTGCCACATAGTGCGTGAGAAAACCTTCATTTGCCGCCATGTTTGAATATTCACCGGAAAAGCATCCCAAGATGACAAAAAACTCCTCGTTTTTGAGATGAAACATTGTTCAAAGTTACATTTTACGGTAGCTCAGTGCAAAATATGCAGCCAACCCCCCCCCCCCCCCCCCCAAAAAAGTATGAAGTGACGCCCCTGAGTAGACGAAACGGTTAAAACTAGAAGTTAGCATGACATTTAACCTATCAAAACATGCCCAGGTAAATTGAAAGATTTCTATTTGCTGAATTTAAACATGCTAAGGCATAATTCTTTTAGAGGGTAGCCATGAACGGATTGCTATGACAAAATAATCAAATTCTGGAGAGGGAGGGACAAAGAGGTTTCTAAAAATTTTAATCTAAGTTTCCGACAAATCCAACTTTCATAAAAAGGAGCTCGAGCAAATATTCAACTTGATCATGTCCCCTCCTCTTTGCCGTTGATTCTATTGTCTTCCAAGGGGTAGGTAGGGGGTGTAACTAGTACCTCTCTCTGCCAATCTCGGACCGGCCCCTTTGAGATTATTACCCGCGCTCCTGCTCCCGTTTTGTTTATGTAAGAACAAAAGCCTTGCGTGATATCATAAAGTAGCAGGTCCAATAAATTCCCCATCAGTGACTTTTGTGGTAGCCTAGTCCTCTAACGCCCCCCCCCCAAATTTACTGCAAACCTACGATAACAATACGATAATTGATTTGAGCTCGCTTGCTTGAGCTGCACAAACATCAGCTGAGGTTTGAGAGCAAAAAGAAAGATTTTTTAAAACAAATAAGGATTAAGTGCCGCCCTCGTAACAGATCTGATTTCTTTGTTCATCTGCAAATTATATACAGTTTCGATTATTGCCTCGTTACAGGTGGGTGAACCTGTTGACTTTGTACAGATTTGGTGTACTGATTCTGATTGATGACTCAATCTTTTTTACAAGAGCGATAAAGCCTCCCAGGTTATCCCTGTGCCGAGTACACTCCCATCACCGGGAAAATGGGCAGGTTGTTTCTTTCTTTTAAGGAAGGGCTTTTGATTTGCCACAAATAACGGCCTCTCCATTGACTGAACATGCATATTTGCTACCTATAAAACAAGGAATCCGGATAATAAGTAATCAGCCGCGAAACCGCATCTTTTCTTAGCACAAAGAGAACTCAGCTTTGATACAGTAACAACAGTTAAATAAGCACTCATTACTAATCTAGGACCACCTCGAGAATCCAACTCCTCTCGTGATTATTAGCTTCCAGAGACATAAAGCATGTGGCCCTAAAAGGGGGCTAGGGTTTACCTGGCTTCAGGCGCCCCTTTACAATCCAGTAGGTAATACTTCACCCATACCTTGGGGATGTTTTAAAAACCGAATTGGAGAACACCATCCCAAATGTTTTATCGCTCGTAAGCATATTGTTCTTTTAGGTGACAATACTGCTCATCGCTAAGGCAATACAAGTCTCAACCATTGATATCATGTTTCATGGTTCAAGCTCAAGCAGCAGTTTTTGCATCTGCAGCGGGAACAACCAAACCAGGAAACAAAACGAAGTGTAAATTCTTCGAATCGCTTCATTTTCTTCTCATATCTGTACAAAACATAGACAAAGTTTTATTTTCAATCCTGCTGTTCCTCGGTAATTGCAATTTAAGGACATTGACAACTTAACATCAACGCAATCGTCTCGATTTCCGTCAAAATCGTGAACTTACCTTCGATTCCACGAAGTGATTATCTGAATGCCAATGAAACCAACAATTTGTGATTTTGAACTGTTCTTTGAGAATCTCTGCGAATCGCGACATGTTTTCTATTCTCAAAGCTTTAATGATCTGATATAAGCCTCTTTTTGCTCGACCAACAACTTCCGGTTAAGCGAGTTGCCCTCGTCAAAGACTGTTGACACAGGCTGGTCATGAGCCTGCGCACAAAGAAATTGTTTCATCAAAGTAGTGTTTCTGCTTAAAAATGATACATCCTTATAATTCCCCTTAAAAATGATACCTCCCGCTGCGCCACTAAATAATATGGGAGCCGTTGGATTCCGGGCAGCTTCAGAGGCTTCTTTCTGACAGAGACACCGTCATTTCGTGATCAAAAAGTATAATTTTTCCTTGCTGCAACTATATAGTAATGATGAATTTTTTAAAAAAATCAATAACAGATTTGTTAAAAAACCTCACCTTTTCTCCAACTTGATTGCTTCAGGCAACAGCTAGAAGATTGGGAGACACTTGGAGCGAAAATAACAAAATTCGTGGTACCTGTATCTTTAAAATCCATGCACTGAACCATCTACCCTGGGCACCAGACTCACTTTATATAAATTATTTTATATAGAGTGAGTCTGGTACCCAGGGTACGAGCCATTAACCAATAAAGTGAAGTGGCATCTGATCAATATTGGCATCTTGGATCTTAACTGCAGTAAAGTAAATAGCAGTTGGGGGGGGGGGGTGGTCGGGAGTGCAGATCCTCAAATTTGACGACAAAAATGGCGCTAGGAAGAGACGTGCGCACGAGTCTCGACCTCTTCAAGAACATTCACCAAGAGCGGCACCGCAAAGCAGCGCTGAGGCTTTCGTGGGCTTTATGCCATCCAACAGTGTTCCAGTAAACGTGTTACACTGGTTTCGCCCGACATAAAACACAGACAATTTTTAGGCAGGAATTTGATACATAATAGGGGTCATCGGTAGTCATTTATAGATATCAGGTTCTATTGGGAACAAATGTGTGTTCTTGTCTCGTAACATTACCATCCTATGATTCCAGCAATGTTTGACTGCACGTTGACTTAACGTAGTACTTGCGTAGGCCGGTTTTTAATACGTATTGAGGATATTGTGATGAATGCTTATATTCAAGCATAGTCAATAGAAAACGCCATGTTTCAAGTTAACTGTTTTTGCTGCTAACTGATTTCAGCGTGCATTGCCAAATATGCTAAAGTGCTGTACGTGCCAAGGTGCTAAATCTTGGTATGTGCCTACTGGCCATTTTTGTACGTGTCATTTGTGCCAACGTGCCATAAGTTTAAACGTGCAAAATAGCCATTTTTGCTACGTGCCAACAACTTGCCATAGGATTGTACGTACCAACGTGTCATTTTTTGTTACGTGCCAACAATCTGTCATTAGTTTGAACGTGCCAAAGTACCATTTGTGTACGTACCAACAACGTGCCATAGGACTGTACGTGCTGACGTGCCATTTTTGTTATATGCCAACGCGCAATAGGTTTGTGGTTTGCATTTGCCAGCATGCCAAAATATTTTGATATCACAATAACTATTCTATTTATTTATACACATGACTTTTAGATAGAAAAACGCAATTCTTAAAAGTTGCACTTTTTGCAAAAACGTTTCAAAGCAGTAGCATCAATAACATACAAACAAATCAAAGTTTAATGAAATTTTCATTAACAAAATCAAAAATATTATGCAGATGCCAAAGATTCTCGGCCCTTTCACTCAACCGAACAGATGCAACGTGAAATGCAACAACAACAACAATTCATGTGTATATGCAAAGTGTATAATATCAATAACGCTACAGAGATTATATCAAAAACATCAAATCGTATCTATTAGTAACAACTATGATAGATACACGATATATTTACGATAATATATAGGATCGATGTGAGGCAAATCATCTGCTTAGAGTGCAGGGCATTACAAGTTTTGTCCTCCAAAGAAGAGATGTTTGAAAGTTCGTTGTTATCTTTTGCTAATTTTTCATTCATATGTTCTTATTAGCACCTTTACTTTTACCCAGATCATCGAGAAAGGGAACATTACAAAAGAAGGGTGTCTTTATTTCTCTCAGCTTCAATATAGGCTGATAAATTTGATTAGAGGGAGGTGGGCATTGAATAGAGTATTAATTGTATGCGAAAAAGCTCTACAATCATAAAATCTATGCTAATTTTTTCTCCCTGATTGCACTAAGACCAAGTCGAGTCTCGAATCCTTGATTTATCTCATCGGTAAAACAATGTATGGTCCTTAAAGTACGCTGCCGCCATTTTACGTGAAGACATAGGAGGGGCTGTCACGTAACCAAAAATGGTATGTTAGCACGTTGGCACATAGCAAGCTTTGTCACATTTGCACGTAACAAACAATGGCATGTTAGCACGTTGGCACATACCAAGCTTTAGCACTTTTGCAAGTAACAAACGATGGCATGTTAGCACGTTGGCACAAACCAAGCTTTGGCACAAACCAAGCTTTGGCACATTGGCACGTAACAAAAGATGGCACGTGTTTAGACATGGCACATAATGTATGGTACATGACTGCAAGGTTGCCTTCACTCTCTGTGCTAAATCTGCCAGACTCATATATACTACACATATGATGGGCCTCCATTCTCCGCAATACAAAGCTGAGCTGCCATCTTCCTGACTCTCTCATACTTGTGGAGCATTAAATGACGTTTTGGGGCTGAATACATTTGTTGCTCAGATTAAAGCTTAGGATTGACATTCGGTCCTACAATAGCCAGTCCCTCATTCTTCAGGCCAAGCTTTAAGTAGAAAAAGTTTCATTTCCAACATCTTGGGCGATGCAAGCATTACCTGATTGAATTGTAAACAGAATATTTCTACATTGGGTAGTTCTTTAACGGTTAATCTTAAACCAGACTAAACGCCTCTTTAGAAACAGGCCAATGACACTTTGTAACATTTTCGAAGAATGGAATGGACTTTGGCTGCCTCTGGCCAAAAATTTACAATTTTGATACTAAATTAAAGATGAGCAGAACTGTCATACCAAATTTTATAAAAGCTGCAGACAGTGGCAATCCTTTATATTTTTTGGAAATGTTTTAGAGAGGTTTTTTTTCCAATTTTTTCAGCAGTTTACCCAGTTAATTCGACAATCTAAATGATAGCGAGCTTAGCACGCATCCTTGTTTTACCCCTACATGACGCCTGAACGTCTTACTTGGGCTCCATGCTTTTGTAGATGAGCACGTAGCGGAGTCAATCCCTTTCCAATATTTTACTATGTAATCCTCATCCAACTAGCTAACAAATTAAATGAGATAACTACGGTTAACTATGTGAAAATCTACATGGCAAACAGTTTTCTACAGCTACAGGACAGTTGCTAGTCTAGAAGTGTCCTTGCACATTGACTGATTTACAACCACATGTATGTATGGGCTAATTATCCCCCCCCCCCCCCCCCCACCCAATCACTGCAAATTGGTCATGGTTCTGTGGCCTCAAATGATGTTATTATATCTAATGTGACTTGGTCGGAGAGAAAAAATTTTGCTGGTCTTGTCAGTAGGTTGTACTTCGCGAGCGAACAAAGTCTGAACCGGGGGTAGGCCTTTTAGACACAACCATCGTTATTTCAACAACAGCAAGATACCGTCATTCGTCTAATACTAGGCCTTCAAAACCAATTCGTGATGTTGACATTTGCTCAAACCTGATAGATATTGATGCAACAGAATAAAAGACGCACAAATATGCATTACTACATGCACTTTATTTTGAATGATGTTATTTGATGCCGTACTGTTTAGTATTGGATTAAATGCGGAATAATATGAGGCGAGAGAACAGGCAGAAGAAACTGGTCTTTCTACATGTACATGTATTTAGAAACCGGCAAGGCCAGTTACATCACGACCGTTAATTCTCAATTAGGTTCGTTTCACAAGAAGTCAGCTCGTAAGTAGCTTCAGTCTCAGCGTCAGTTCCTTTTGAAAGGCGCCTTCTCAGAAGGTACAGCATGAACCAGATCAGTTGTATTAATGGAGCTATTATAAAAACTGCAGCCAAAATCATCCCCACCGCCTTGCCTGTGTGGCGCCCATAGTCAAGCACTGGTCCATACACAAGGTTGCCAGTACTGGCCCAATAAATGCAATTGGATATGAAGTATAAACCAACCAGGCATGATGGATACACACAGTGCAGCAGGCGCATTGGCGTTCTGGAAAGGGTGAAATCAATGAGAAGAATTAGCAAGTTTATCCCATGTCGATCAATAGTCATGTATCTGATAGCAACATTTCTGCTTTCTTTGAATTCCCGGTCATCGCTTGAAACCAAAAACCAGTAAGCAAAGAAAACAAAGGAAGTTACATTCACTGCAACATTCAACATCACCCAATGGAATCTAGTGTATACTTTGAATATCTGGCTCTTCCAAGTATCCTTTGAGGCACCTTCAGGCAAGTTATGGTTATTCTCACGTGACCACCAAATGTACATTGTTGATTGTACGCCACAACTCAGGATGTACACAGTGACAAGGACATGGTTGACACTGGTGAGGTAGATTACCCATGCATGATTGCGGTCTCGGTTTGCAATAACGACTGCTGCAGCAACGAAGCTTGCAAAAGCATAACCACACAGAATTAGGCGAATTATCCAAAAAGGAATTTTATTCAGGCCATTCCACTAAAAGGGAAGTTGATGATATCAAAAAATTTCAACGCAGGTGAATCAACCCAGTTAAACCCTACGAGCTTTATTATTTGGCAGGAGTTTTGCAGGTTAGGTCTGAGTGTCACACACCAAGATGCTACTTTGAAATGCAAATCTTAAAAAAGGATGTTATTGGAGAGACGAACGAGCGAAGATCTGCTAGTGTGTGGCAATCCTCTGCACTGGAGTCAAAGAGCATGCGTAATAGAGATTACGTTCCATGCGCATGCTCTTGGATTCCAAGACAGGGGTTGCAGGATCCGTCGCGTGACATTCTCTAGAAAATACCTAATAGAGGAATTTAACGACCCTTTTCTTTATTAACTAAAATTGCAACTATTTTTGACATTTTCTCTTTGACAGTTTCTCTTTAACAGTTTCTCATTGCAGAGAGACGACGTCATAAGGTAAATTGAATATACAGTAGTGTTTTGTATAATTTCATTTTTGTTCTGCGTCTTCATTTTTTGGCAACACTGGGGCATTCAGCAAAATACTCTGCATAAAATTTTACTTGTGTGATGGAGGTTGGTATTGGATCGACGTGGCAAATTAGAAACTTGAATGTCACGCCAACCAAATAGCATCCCCATACTTAAATTTCTTGAAACTATTCCTGCCTGAATGATGAGTGGTATGGTATATATGTTGATGATGTAGGAGCATGTTCACAATAGCCACAGGGAGGATACTGAATGCGAACGACCCTGTCCCTCCCCATCCACACATACTAACAGAAAGACTTCCAGGCGTTGTGCTTCAACGTTTATTCAAACATCACTAACATAGAAACGTAACCCTTTGTAACCACTTGTAATTTGTTAAGTGAGTGGTGACAGCAAACAAATTTTAGAATAATTTTGACTATATAATCAGAATAAATGTTATAAAATAGCTCCATGAGTGAAAAAGCAGTTAAATTCTGACTTAGGCGAAAACTCCGAAGCCGAGAGCGGGTGGAGAGGGGGGGAGGGGTTCGGGGCTACTCCCTTGTCCTCACATAATTTTGCAATTTCCATTCTTTTGCTTTTATTTTGCCCATTTTCTTGTGGATTTGACCCTTCTGGCCTTTCTGCCTAAATGAGCATAGGCTTGGTTTTTATCCACTAACTATCATGCCACACTTCCCTTTGGTACTTCCATAGACTTTCCCAAAGTGTATATTAGATAATCCGCAAGGCATGATTTGGGAAGTCTAATACTTCCATTGACCATACCTGATAGAAGTTACAACCAGTATAGTTGTTGTTATGCCATGCAATCTGGGCCATTGCTAGCGTGACACCCCCTTAGCATCGTTATAACGACGAGCGTACGCGATATAGGTGTGCTCCGTCGGTAACTTACAGACTTCCTTGGCAAATAATGATTGTTCACTCAGTCTGTTGGCAAATGGGATCTGAGGGATCTGAGCAACTCCTCTCCTCCCGCTTTCTGACCTTGAGCAAGAATAGCTAGCGACGGTCCTGCATGCTATGCTATATTACATCACATTGTCAAAATCAGAATATTCCAAAGCATATTTCGATAGATTTCTCCTGAACATTACCAGCTAAATTCTGGGAGTTCAACAGATTAACAGTTACCTGGGATATTTGAAAATCTAACGGTTTTCCATGATCAAGACCAAGATTTGAAACTTTCAGTTCCCTTTTCAGTACAGCAGTTACATCTGAAAAAGGCATGCTTGCACTCTTCAATCTGCATTTATCTACAGCTACCCAATGCTTGCATCGTTACACGCTTTATACCCGTAATGTCGAGCTAAATACTGATGTTGACAAATTGATTTCGATGTGGCCTAGCAATCCATCTTCAAACAAAAACGATCAACAATCAACCGGCAGCAGATTGTTGATGACAATGTTGATGGAATTTGCTTCATTCACAAGATAAACAAATGAATGCGAGGAAAGGAGATTTCTATTGTCAGAAATTGAATCATTTCATCTGCTCAAGGCTCCTTGGATAAGGAGCATTGTAAATTTCAAATGACCCGTTTCATAATTGAAACTATAGTTGTCTCCATCATTTGGGAGAAGCAATTACAACGCGTTAAGAGCAATATACTCTATTACCTCGGAAACAAGCCTACCTCTCCAGCTCTGGCCCATAGGTTACTGAATGCACAAATTTCACAACATTTAGTTATGAAAATACACAGAGATTCGTTTATTGAGAGTTCTTTCGAAATACTCGTACATTAGTTAAAAGCTCTCTTTTTACATATTGTCTCTAGGTCCCTTAATTTCGCATGCGCGGGGGATGATGCTCAAGTGTTGTGTGTCACTCACACTGAAACGGACATTGACACTATACTATAGTTTATGACCAGTTGATGCATTTAAAATCATTCAATTTATTTTCCTTGACGCTTAAAAAAAGAGGCTTGTTCCCCCATGACTTGGTAAAGGGGAGTGGCGTCGCCACCCCAGTCTTCCCAGAAGTCGATGTTGACTTTCTAATTTCTCGAAATCCGTTGAAAAATCTTTGGTGGGGGGTAGGGGGGTATGGGGGTAGTTGGGCTGATCAGATCAATTTCGACTTTCGCACTGGCAAAATTGCTTCATGTTAGTGTTTATTAGTGTTCACACTATTGTCAAACCAACAGTAAAAAAGGTATTATTATTATTATTATTATGGCTAATTAAGTGATTCACAGACACCTAGATGTTAATTGGTCCGGATAATATAGGAGGGAGCAGTCAGCAACAAGCTGACAAAGGTCCCATTCTGTCATCTCAAGTTAATTACATAGACAATGTCTGTCTCAGCTGTTCCTAGCAGTGCTGTCTTTTATATCACCTGTAACTTTACATCAATTCCGATGACTGTCACCCTTCTTCATATTCCACAGATTTCCGATTTGCTCCTTTAATGGTTGATATTTCTCAATTTTTTCTTGTTCTTTATCTTTTACCCTATTATCACCAGGAATGGCAATATCGATTATCTTCACATCCTTTTTTTTCTTGTCAACAACAACAATGTCTGGCCTTCTTGCTTCAACAACCCTATCACATTGAATCATAAAATCCCACAGTAGCTTAAACTTGTGATTCTCTAAAACTCCTTCAGGTTTCTGTTCATACCATTTTGTGGCTCTTTCAAATCCGCACTTTTCCGCTAACAACCAATGAATATACCTTGCCACATTGTCGTGTCGTTTTTTATATTCTGTTTGTGCCAGTTCAGCACATTCGCTCACCAGATGACTAACTGTTTCCCTCTTGTCACCGCACATTCTACATAAAGACGTATCACTTGTTTTATCAATGTAGTGCTTGGTATAATTAGTGCGCAGCGCCTGCTCCTGTGCACTACAGACTAATGCTTCAGTGCACCCTTTCAGATGTCCGTTCCTTAACCATGACCAGCTTTTTTCCCAATCAATTCTGTCAGTATTCTTAGTAAATTGCCCATACATTGGCCTAACTTTCCATCGTTTTTCCAAGTGCCTTTTTGTCTCATTTTTATGTTCATTTGGTGCTACTGCCTCCTCAGTATTCATTGCCCCAAGGTCTCTCATTTTTGACATAATATTGCCTCTAGCATGCTTCACATACCGAGCCAGGTTGTTTTTCTCATTTTCAATACAATTCTCACAACTTATCAGCCCCCTACCACCCTTTTTCCTGCTAACATAAATTCTTGCTACATCGCTACTAGGATGAAGTTCTTTATTCATTATCATTAATTTCCTGGTTCTTCTGTCCATACTTTCTAGCTCGTCTTTACTCCATTTAATTATTCCTGCTCCATAGCGAATCAGGGAGATTGCCCAGGTATTTGTCGCTTTAATCTTATTCCTTCCATTGAGTTTCGACAGCATGACAAGTCTAACCCTTCTGAAATATTATCTTTGAAATATCTTCTTCATCTCCTCTTTTTATTCTATCTAGCTCTGTTATTCCCAGATACTTATACCCTTCTTCACCAACCTCTTTGATCTTTTCCCCATTGACAAGTTCAATTCCTGCACTTCCTGTTAATTAGGCTGTCTCCTTGGAATATTCCTCTGCGAATATTTACAAGCCCTAGAGTTTCCCCACACGATGTCAGTTGTACTTTCCAGTTGGTCATAGATTTTTCTATAAAGTTAATAACATTGTCTGATACTCTATATATTATTATTCCTGCTAACATAAAGAGCGAAACCAAGAGATTCGCTCTTTATGGAAAGACTCTAGCACTGGTACAAACATACAATATGACGTTTATAGCAACACCAAACAAGTTCTCAAATCCATCCAAAGTGAACACGAAAACCGCATTGAAAACGTTCTTACATCTCAAGGATTTATTATCTCGTGCATCTTGAAATTTGCTTCTAAGGGAACTAATCAACTTTGGTCTAGTGTCCAGCAAAAGTTACCAAAAAACATTTACAACTTTACTATCAAATACCTAAACAACACTCTTGCCACTAGGAAAAACCTCTGCAAATGGTCAATTACTCAGTCATCTGCCTGCTCTCTCTGTCTCCAATCAGAATCATTACAGCACATAGTCTCTAGCTGCAAGAATTATCTTGCATATGGTAGGTATACCTGGAGACATGATTCTGTACTTCTATATTTGGCTAAAACCCTTTCAACACCTAGAAACAGCTCACTTTACGCCGACCTGCCTTCATCTCTATCACCTTCTTTAATCACAGGCGACTCCTATCGACCAGATCTTGTCTTCGTAACTGAAGATCGAATCCTTTACATGCTAGAGCTTACTGTTGGGTTCGAAAGCAACATCGACGAAAACACTACTTGAAAAGCTAGGAAATATAGCGATCTTGTCAAGGAACTGAGCCCTGCCTATAAACGTGTTACCTTTGTTAACCTTTCTATGAGTGCCCTTGGCATTCTGGGAACCTCATCTACCTCTCTCTCTGACATGCTACATGAACTTAATTTTGACACAAATCAAACTAAATCCATCTTGATGAAACTCATGAACATTTCTATCCGCTGCACCTACTATATCTTCTGTCGTCGAAACAAACTATGGCTAAGCCCCGAACTAATTGACTTTTAAATATTGTAATGCAGATAAGCCAATTATATGATGCCTGTAAAAGCGAGTCATATAATTGTAAATTTAAATGTATTCAATGAAAATGAGATGTTTAAAAAAAATTATTATTATAAACAAACTTTGGTCCAAGGTGCAAAGTAGCATGCCTCAGAATATTTTCAATTTCACCATAAGGAAAACACAGGAAAACCTGAAAAAATGGAACTTGAGCCAGACCTCTGACTGTTCTTTCTGTTTTCTGCCAGAAACCCTTCTTCGCGTTGTTGCTGGCTGCAAAACATATCTAGAACAAGGCCGATACACCTGGCGACATAACTCTATCCTGAACTTTCTAGCTACGTCACTAAAAGCTGTCAATGAATCTACCGTCTACGCTGATATACCTGGCTTTCTTTCACCATCAATCATAACTGGAGAAAACCTTCGCCCTGATCTTCTCTTGAGGACTAACAACAATTACCTCTACATTTTAGAGCTAACTGTTGGCTTCGAATCCAATCTTAACACAAATGCTACAAGAAAACACAGCAAGTATGCTCCTCTTTTATCTGGTTTACAGCGGCAGTTCAAATGTGTCTCTTTTGTTAATCTTTCTATGAGCTCTCTTGGCATCTTCGGCAATTCCTGCAATTCATTCTTCAAAATGTGGGACTCTCTCTCCATCGATCAGCAACAAAAACGGTATCTCATTTCTAAACTTTCCAGCATTGCCATCTGTACTACGTACTACATATTTTGTTGCAAAAATAAGCCATGGACAAATCCGGAATTACATCCTTTTTAATTTTAGTTGTTTTATTTTTTTTTCTCAGTTTCTCAGTTGTAATAGTGAGATTTGTAATTGTAGTTTAAGTTGAATTGAAAATGAAATGCTTCCATTATTATTATTATTATTATTATTATTATTATTATTATAATTCTCTATAATTATAATTCTTAATACTCTTGTCTTGTTTAAACGTCGAAATTTAAGCCTGGAAATTGTATTTATGCCATACTTTTGAGATTCATAACGTTGCTGATCGTCCTTGTTTCACTTCGATCATGTTTCGTTGCACTTTGCTTACGTTCCTGTCTATATTCGTGGTTTGTGCAACTTGTGGCAAAGATTTTGTATCGTTAGGCCGCCATACTTGGCGCTGTAGGAAACGTGTCGACAACAATGGTATTGGCCCCAACGGAGCAATTAACATGCCTTTGATCGACAATGGAATTGAACCTCCCGCTAACAGTCAAGTGAAATGCTGTTGTGGCAAGATTTGCAAAGGAATCAAAGGATTG